CATGTGGCCTCGTTCGGGGAGTTGTGGCTTGGCCGGCTGCGCGGGGAAGGGGACTTGTCGCTGAAGGAGCCGCCGGCACCGGCGCTGCCCGGGGGCCGAGGGGTTGCAGACTCCGGCCGGGAGGATGAGGCCGTGGCCCGGGATCTGGGCTGCAGCCTGGAAGCGGCAGCCGAGCTGAGGGCGGTGTGCGGGTGAGTGCGGGGCCGAGGGGCTCTTGCGGCTTGGAGTCATCCCGGGTGCAGCCTTGCTCCTGCGCGCCCCTGGGCCTCATCATGGGGGCGGGTCTGTGGTTTACTCCCCGGGGTAGAAGGGCCGCCCTATCAAAGCTTTTCCGGAATAACGGGAGAAGTCCCGTGATGGGAATGCACAATTTCTGCTAGTGGGATTGAAGGGACGAGAGAGCCGCATGAAAGATTAATTTTTCTATTCACTAGTTTTTAAAGTGCTTATTAATGTAGGAAAGCAATCAGTAACAGCGACGTGTATCTGTCTTTGACAAGACACTTTGACGACGGAGGAACCTTAGTTTATGATGAGGCTGGAAGGAGATTTAACCACAGCAGTGTCAAAACCTTGATTATCTCTGGTCTCTTTTGGGGACCTCCTGGGTATACTGTTATTGAGATATTCTTCAAAGTGACTTACTTTAAATGAAAATATTAAAATAACGATCTCTTTCTCCATTTAACAGTATTGGCCGCCTTCAACCAGCCATATATCCCTTTCTTTATAGAATATTGGCACAGAATTCGCCTTTAATTCTGGTTATCTGATTGCTTAATTATTCAGTGATATGTTTAGGGCACAACTCCTGCTTGCCAAGGACAGGATGCGGTGATTACTTTGTTTGTTTTTGTTTTAGTCTTGATAAACTGAAGTGCCTTGAGGAAGGGGAGGATCCAGAAGTCATCCCAGAAAATACTGACCTAGTGACTTTGGGGTATGGAGGACTTTGCTTTTGTTACTTGCTACTTATTTAAATATTTTTTTCAACATTATATTATTCGAAAGTTGACAGTATGGTATTGTTATCCCACCTCCTAAATTCAACCATTGTTGACATGTGGCCGTATTGGCTTTAGCTGTATGTGTTTGAGATACCTCGTGTGTGTCTTTTTCTATGGCTGAACTATTCAGTAAGTTGCAGACATCATGATAATTTACCGCTAAGTACGTCAGCGTATAGCTTCTAAAAGTATGATCCTACTTAATCAGAGTGGTATTATTATACCTAGGAAAATTAACAGTAACAGCATTATCTCTAATATCCAGTCCATATTCAAATTTGTGTTTATTTTTAAGTGTTTACAAAGGTACAGTTAATCTGCTTAGATTTTGGGGTGGCAAGCTAAATACTCTGATAGTGTGGTAAAGGACTCGTTTTTTAAAATTTTCTGTCAGATCCATACTTTTGTAAAATAGGATAAAAATGAATTACTAGAAAAATGAAATTAAAAGACAAACATAATAAAACTCCAAGTTTTTTATCATTAAATTCAACAGTAATATTACTGTCATATAGGTGTGAACATTTCTAAATGCTTACTCTCATTGTCTGTACTGATTGGATAACAAAGAACTCATAGATCAACTCTGGTCTGCCAACCACATTTTGAGAAAGGTTGCTCTATGGTAATACTATTATAGAGAAACTGCATGTAATAGTGAAATTTGTAATTTCCAGTTTGTAGCCCGTTTACTTTGCACCATCTCAGCTATGTTGTCATACTTTATCCTACCTTTTCTATTGTCCCCCTCAAAAATTTAGGCAGGCGTTTCGACCCTACCTTGTTGTTAGGTTATTTTTGTAATTGCCAAATCTGTTTCTCTTATCCCTGTTGCTAACACTTACATTAGCAACACTTGGAGCACTATAAAAGGTTCCTGTCTTTCCTAGGTCCTGTGTTTTCTCCTGACTTATCCATCCTGCTATCACCTAAGCATGCTCATTTGATGAGAAGTCGTCAGTGGCTCAACCTCTCCTCTATGGGCAAATTTCAGATTTTTTTACTTAGACATTTGAAACCTTCCACATAGCCCAGATCTGCCTTTCTTGACTTGTTTTCAACCATTTTCTCTTTCAGTGCCTCAGGATGCACATGGCCCCTCTCCCAACTGAACCCTAACCTAACCAGTCTTTGAGTCCCTAACATTCATTTCCACATCTCTACAACCCATCTATCTCCCTTTGGAAATAGATACACTTGTAATGTCTAGAATTCTTCTAACGCTTCTAAAGTCCTTGAAGGTTCATTGAGAGTCCAAGCTCCTTCATCTGTGAATTGTGCTTAAGCCTGTCGGACTGCTTTACTCCATTTGGTACCCTTTAACTATTGTTGATTGATTATTTGGATTTTTTTTCTAAAATGCACATCTGATTGTCTCACTCTCTTACATAAAATCTTTCAATGGTTCTTAGGCATAATCCTGAGTTCTTAAATGGATCACAAGGTTCTCTATAGAATGGATCTTGCTGGTCTTTTCGGCCCTACATCCCTGCAGTGCTCCAGCCATGTTACACTGTTTTTCAGTTCCTAGAATGTGCTCTCTCATCCTAGGCCTTTGCCTAGAACACTCACACTTCCTTATCCCCTGGTCTGGCTGACTATTACTCATCTTTCAAGTTTTAGCTGAAGGACTAAGGACTCCATCTAGCTCCCCTTTTATGCTCATGTAGCCGCCGATACTTCTCTATTGAAATACTCTTCACACTTATACTGTACTTATTTAATTTTCTGTTTTCTAGCTAGACTTAAAAGTTCCATAAGCTGTGTCTGTCACACCCACTGCCATGTCCCTCATTCCTAGAATTTTGGCATATAATAATAGGGAGTCAGTAGATATTTGTAGAATGAGTGGAATAAATGAAACTTGCATAAACCTAAGGAAGCAATTTTTTAGAGATTGGCTAAAAGAAGAAAGTTGATATTTATAAAGCAGACTTTTTTTTCTATAGTTAATTACATGCTAATTGGCTTATAATGATGTTATTGAGCTATGTGAAATAGTAATTTTCAGACTGCTTTACACAGTGCTTCCCCTGGCTATTTTCTGTTACTAGATCAACTGGATCTCCTTGGTTGTCTTCTAGTCCCTTCCATAGGAAATGTGAGTAGAATTATATGTATAATCTAATGTAAAAGGAGTTAGTGCAGCATTCCTTAGCTGGGATTATTTTGATGTACTTTAAAACTATTATATTTAAAATAAGACTAATCTTAATCTTAACAGTACCACAAGTGAATTAGGCTTGTGCCAAAAGCCAAAAATCTGTATCTCTCTGCTTTCTCTTTCACTAAACCTTCCTTTCTTTTCCCTACCAATAACTTAAAAACGTAAAGTAAAAACAAAACCTAAGTACATGACCCCTTTATTGTGGCATAAAATACATTTCTAGCACTTCTTCTTTTCTCCAAAGGTTAAGTAGCATTGTTTTTAATACAATAGCTTGTAGATAGAATATTTAAGAATATAATCTAAGAAAAATTTCCAGAATGGGGAAGAAAACCTGAACAAATTAAAAGGGCTCACTGGTTACCTGGGAAAATTAACTCAGAATTATCAACTCTGAGATGTATCCTAGTAAAACAATTAGATTTCAGAGAGAAAATGGGTAACAAGGGGCATTAAAAAATATATAAATGCAAAGGTAACCACTGGAACAAAAATGCAAATACCAAACCTCCCTCTGCAATTTCTAAAAAATAGACAAGCAGAAAGACATGTCTCAGAATGAAAAAAACAGCTAATATAACAAAATACATACAATTAGAAAATGTAATAGAATTGAGGCCAAAGGCATCAGTTTTTCTACAGTCTCATAAAAGGGTTTAGATTAGGCTCACAAAACAAAAACCTTGCAGAGACAACAGACACATCTAAAATAAAGTAATTCAGAGAGGCTAAAAATAAATGGTGGGACAAAAGTATACCAGATCAATGGAAAGAAAAATTGAGCAGATGTGATGGTCCTGATAACAGACTAATAAAATTCAAGTCCCCAAACATTAAATATGACAAAGGACACGTTTTAGTGCTAAAGGCCACAAACCACAGTTAAGGTAGAATACTTATATATACCCCAAAGAATACAGCAACCAACTTTATAAAACAAAACTATAGGGGATACAAGGAAGCATAGCTAGAAACACACTAACAATAGGGCACTTCAATATACCAATCTCAGCACAAGGCAGATCAACTGGCCAAAAAAAGTGAGGAGGTAAGAACTCTAAACAACATAATCAGCAGGATATGTCTTATGGAGATACACGTATACATAAAATTTATAACCCTGTGTTAGAGACTGCGTGGCACATTCACAAAAGTTGGTTATATATTAGGTCACAGAGGAAACATCATAACATCCATTGAGTAGAAATAAAACAAACAGCAGTCTCTGATCACAACATAATAAAACTAGAATTCACTAACAAAAACAAAAATCAGGCCATTCTAACATGGAACTGTTCTAACAGGGCTACTGTTACAACATGGTAAAATATATATATATTTAGTTGTAAGTAGTTGTAAAGCTAGTATCTTATTTAATAGAGAAGCAGTACATATATTTCTGCTAAGATCTGGAATAAGCAAGCATGCCTAGTATCTCGGTGCTTTGCAGCATTGTATTATAGGATTAGCCATGCAGTTTGACAAGAGGAATCAATTAGAAGCATAAGGGTAGATAAAGAAGAAAAACTAGCTCTATTTGTGAATGATTTAATGGTATTACCTGGAAAAGAAATCAATGCTAAAACAGACAAAAACCAAAAAATAATTTAGTGTAAGAGCAGGATACAAAATTGATAAATAAAAAAAATGGCCTTCGTAGATACAAACAGTAAACAATTAGAGGACATAATGGTGGAGGAAAATCCCATTTACAACAGTCAAAAAGGATAAATACTTAAGAATAACAAGAAATGTGTAAAACTGAGGTAAGGGAAAATTTTAAACCCTCCTGAAAGACTGAGAAAAAATCTTGAAAACATTGAAAGATATCCTCTGTTCTTGAATAAGAATACTAAGCATTATAATGTTGTTAGTTCTTTCTAAGTTAATTTACAGATTAAGTGCAATCCCAATAAAAATACTAAAAGTATTGGTTATTTTATGGAGTTAGACAGTTGATAATAAAGTTCATATGGAATATATTCAAGAATAACTAGGAAAAAACTGGGTGACGAGGAGAAAATTGTGAGTGCCTGGTAATTTTACCATATATTAAAATACACTACAAAGTCTTTTTAATTAAAACAGTGGGTACTAGCTCATGAATAGACAGATAGACCAGTGGAATAGAAGAGAAAGTCCAGTTAGATTCAGATGCATATGGAAATTTAGTATGACGCTATACACAAGAATAAACTCCAGAGGGAGTGGGATCAAAATGTAGAAAACGAAATATACCTACCTTGGTGTAGTGAAAGGCTTTCTAACAAGATCCTTTTTGACCCACCTCCAAGAGAAATGGAAATAAAAACAAAAATAAACAAATGGGACCTAATGAAACTTCAAAGCTTTCGCACAGCAAAGGAAACCATAAACAAGACCAAAAGACAACCCTCAGAATGGGAGAAAATATTTGCAAACGAAGCAACTGACAAAGGATTAATCTCCAAAATTTACAAGCAGCTCATGCAGCTCAATAACAAAAACAAACAACCCAATCCAAAAATGGGCAGAAGACCTAAATAGACATTTCTCCAAAGAAGATATACAGACTGCCAACAAACACATGAAAGAATGCTCAACATCATTAATCATTAGAGAAATGCAAATCAAAACTACGATGAGATATCATCTCACACCAGTCAGAATGGCCATCATCAAAAAATCTAGAAACAATAAATGCTGGAGAGGGTGTGGAGAAAAGGGAACACTCTTGCACTGCTGGTGGGAATGTGAATTGGTTCAGCCACTATGGAGAACAGTATGGAGGTTCCTTAAAAAACTACAAATAGAACTACCATATGACCCAGCAATCCCACTACTAGGTATATACCCTGAGGAAACCGAAATTCTAAAAGAGTCATGTACCAAAATGTTCATTGCAGCTCTATTTACAGTAGCCTGGAGATGGAAACAACCTAAGTGCCCATCATCGGATGAATGGATAAAGAAGATGTGGCACATATATACAATGGAATATTACTCAGCCATAAAAAGAAACGAAATTGAGCTATTTGTAATGAGGTGGATAGATCTAGAGTCTGTCATACGGAGTGAAGTAAGTCAGAAAGAGAAGGACAAATACCGTATGCTAACACATATATATGGAATTTAAGAAAAAAAAATGTTATGAAGAACCTAGGGGTAAAACAGGAATAAAGACAGAGACCTACTGGAGAACAGACTTGAGGATATGGGGAGGGGGAAGGGTGAGGTGTGTTAGGGCGAGAGAGAGACATGGACATATATATACTAACAAACGTAAGGTAGATAGCCAGTGGGAAGCAGCCGCATGGCACAGGGAAACCGGCTCGGTTCTTTGTGGCTGTCTGGAGGGGTGGGATAGGGAGGGTGGGAGGGAGGGAGACAAAGAGGGAAGAGATATGGGAACATATATAGTATATGTATAACTGATTCACTTCGTTATAAAGGAGAAACTAAGACACCATTGTAAAGCAATTATACCCCAATAAAGAAAAAAAAAAGAAAATGAAACATACCTACCTTGGTGTAGTGAAAGGCTTTCTAACTATGATTTAAATCCAGAGGTAATAAAAGGAAAAGATTGATAAAATTGACTACATATAAAAATTTTAAATTTTGCTTAAAAAAAAACACCATAAAGTCAAAAGACAGCTGCCAGACTTGGAGAAAATATAACATATACACAAAGAGCCGGTAACCCAAATATGTAATACCTTAAAAGTTGAGGGACAAAGACCAAAAACCCAAAGGGAAAATGGGGAAAAGATATGAAACAGTAACTCACACACAAAAAAGATATAAAAATGACTCACAAACATGAAAATATGTTCATGCAGATTCATTATTAGAGAAATGCAAGTTAAAGTGACAGATACCTTTTTTCTCCTATCAGTCTGACACAAATTTTAAAATATACATTCTTTTGATGAGGCTGAGGGAAGCAGGCATTTTCAGACATTCCTGATGGAAACATAAATTGATAGCAGCCCTCTTCTAGGGAAATTTGGTAATGCCCAACACAAAATTACATAGGCACTTAGCAGTCTCACTTCTAGCAATCTCTACTGAAGATATACCTCCAACAATATGAAAATTTATTATGCATAAGGTTATTTGTTGCAGCATTGTTTGTAATAGCAAATATTTGAAATATCCTAAATATACATACATAGGAGAGTGTTGAAGAAATTATAGGACATCCACACAGTGCAGTATTGTGTAGCTGTGCTAAAGGATAAGGAAGGATGAACCAGTAGATTTCTAGGAAATACTGTTACATGACAAAAGCAAAGCCCAGAAGCATATGTTACCCTTCTTGTAAAAAAGAAGTTTCATTGGGTATCAGTTTATTGGCTCTCATCTAAAAGTGTACCCTTTTTGCCTGCTCTGTAAAAATGAGTCTCAGCTCTTTAAATATTTTTCCTTTCCCAACTGGCACAGTATTAAGCTTTGTCAGTAAAGGGCACAGGAGAGACTTTGCATGAGGAAGGAGTTCTGCTTCTTGGTGCCATGTGCTGGCTCAGCAGGGTCCTGCAGCACATACAGCTTCCCCAGCATCCAGCTCCCGCAGTACCCGGCAGTCAGTAACACAGAGCTTTCCCTGCTGCTCCACTCCCCTTGAAACCTCCCTGGAAAAGCTTTTCCTGTCACCCTTGAGGGCAGATTTCCAGCAGGTTCCACTGATGCACCCTAGCAACTTCTCTGCCATTCAGCGAGTCACAGCCTTTCCCTCTCCAATAAGGTCTGGCTCTCAGTCCTGGGGGAAGAAAAGGGAGCCTTCCTTGGGTCTTCTTTCTTAGCGCAAGGGGTAGGGTTCCTTGTATGCTATTCCTTTATTCTCTAGCGTTCTCTACTTCTTACTTGCCAGTCTCTCATTACTCCAGTCCTCTGTTAAAAGTTAATAATTCTTTAGATTAAACTTTCTCTGTTCAAATTACTGTTTAGTTTTTTTCTCCTAATTGAACTCAGACTGACACAAAAAGGAATATAAGAAAATACATAGGTATCTGTGTATTTGAACAAAAGAAATGGAGAGGGTAAACCAGAACTGTAGAGATTGGTGGCCTGCGGTGGGTGGGTAGGACAGGGGTGGAAAGAAAGGAGGAGATAGGTACAGGTTAGTGGTTGGGACAAAGAGGGAATGATACTTCTCTGAATATGTATACCTTTTATAACTCTTTTAGAATCATAGTAGTGTTTCACATCTTTTACACAACCCAAAAGTAATCAGACAATTAAAACCAGCCAAGATGTAGGGGGAGACCCAAAATAGAATGTGAAAACTAACAAATGAGTCTAATTGTGTTACAAATGAATAGCATCACAACACTGAAGAGAATTAATAAGAAAGATCTAATCTGATTCTGTATAAAAGTGTACTTGGATTCAATGTTGTAAGGCTGAAGACAAAAGGAACTATTAATTTTTAGTGTTTTTCACAGGGGTGTAAGTTAGCAATTCTGAAACTATGTTTTTTAAAGAACCGAACGTGTAAGTGAATAGATTATAGATAAAGGGAGCTGGGTTTCTTACTTGTGGAGAAAAGTTATAAACAAGGAAAGGCTGAAGGCTAAAATGAATCCTGATTTTAGTTTGGGATTAGAAGTATTAGTATAAACTCAATGGCTTTAAAAATATATAACAGAGTATTGGGTTAAATAAACTACATTATTGAAGTTAAAAATATATATAAACAGAAAAATACAGAAACACAGATAATTGTACATGTGTGGTTTAGTATATATGTATGTTTCGTACCTCTCTCTGCTGAGAGTCCTGGAAGCAGTGACTGCAATAACAATGAGAACACCTCATGCTCAGGTACAGGTGTCTAAACCTCTCTCCAGTGAAGGAACTAGGGCTCCTAGGAGAAGTGGTTGATTCCAGGGCTGAGACACGAAAATACAGGGTGAGCCTTGAGCATCTTCTGTGGTGCCAGAAAGTAAGGAAATACTTAACAAGAAAAAAAAAAAAAGATGGCTTGTTGAAAGAACAGCCAAATTGAAGGAGCTTCTAGTAGCCAAAACTAGAATAATCTGAGCAACAGAATAACAATAGTATTAGATTTTAACCTGTAGAATAAAGTTAATATTTATGAGTTCATACTAATAATATAAATAACCAAATAAATAAATAAATAGGAAGAAAGAGGCAGGTCTTCCTCATAATACCAATGAATAAATGTTAAAGGAGGAAAATAGAGAATCACTGTTAGGTATAAACCACAGTAATAAGTGTTGTAGGCAAAATCTACTGGTGAGTGCTAAAATTCCTGGATGAAAGTTTGAGGAGAAACAAGATTTGCATAGTCTCAAAGTATCTCCCCGCAACACTTATCAGGGACAAAGGAAAAGAAAATATCTTTCTAGTGTAGGAACCTGGCAGACAGGAGCTTAACCAAGGTAAATATCTACAGGAATAAGACATACTAATATTAACATTATGAACGTCAGGATGATACAGTGAGAAGGAAAACATCATTCTTGTGGTGTTCTTGTCAAAAGTTTATAAGCTTACTCCATTTATGAGGCAATAGCAATTAAACCCAAATTGAAGGACTTTCTATAAAAACACTGATTAGGGCTCTTTGAAAGTGTCAAGGTCATGAAAGACAGAGACTGAGGAACTGTAGAAGACTGGAGAGGAAAGGAGAAATCAGAAATGCAATGTGGTGTCTGAATAGGATCCTGGGACAAAAAAGGCACTAAAGTTAAAAATTTGTGAAATTCAAAAAAGTTCTTTAGTTAATAATACTGTATTAATGTTAATTTCCTGGTCTTGATAATTATTCTATGAACATGTAAGATGTTAACAGGGAAAGCCAGGTAAGAGATATAAGGGAATTCTTTGTACTATTTTTGAAGCCTTTCTTTAAGTCTAAAATTAGTTCAGAATAAAAAGGTAAATATTAAAGATATTTTTGAAGCCCCAGTAAAGAATGTTGAAGTTTGATTTTTCTTGTAACAGGGTTAGAAAGAGACTTCTGGAACACCGGGAAGAAACCATAACGATAGACCGGGTCTGCAGACAAGAAACATTTGCTTATGAGATGGTAAATGTCTTATCTTTTCCACCTTTTCCCATGAAACAAACTCTCATTGATGTTAGTGATGACTGTATGGTGGCTTTATATTGGATGTGCTTAGTTGGAAACAAATTAGAGAAACTTCACTGGGACTGGGAACTAGTAGGAGAAAAAGACCGATAAAATTCAAGTGATGGGGAATTCCCTGGCAGTCCAATGGTTAGGACTCCACTTCCACTGCCGAGGGCGCAGAATCGATCCCTGGTCGGGGAACTAAGATCCTGCAAGCCATGCAGTGCAGCCAAAAAAAAAAAAGAAAGAAGAAAATTCAAGTGATGGCACATTTTCCTGTCAGATCTCGGCCTTTATTTTTGCTTTTACTTTGGTCTTGCCCTCTGTATTAGGCTAATTTCATGCCTTTCACCACCCTCTTTCTGATATTTTTGTTCTGCTCCTGGTTTTGGTTTAACTGTATTCTTTTCTAATCCATTATTTCTTAGCTAAAACCCTCAGAATAATTTAAGATGGGGAATAATGAGGAATTAAGTGTTAGTAGACATGATAGGTTCATTCAGTACATGAACCTATCATGTTCAAGAATAAGTTCTTGACAACTTATTACGAGCCAAATGCTGTTTTAGGCACTTAATAGTGCAGAAGGGCACCTGTTTTCTCTCTCACTCATTTTTATAATTGTGGTAAATTTTACATAACATAAAATTTAACATTTTAACCATTTTAAATGTTCATTTAAGTGGCATTAAGTACATTCACAATTCTGTATAAGCATCACCACTATTTTCTGAACTTTTTCATCATCCCAAATAGAAATTCTATACCCATTAACACGAACTCCCCATTCTCCCTTCCCCCAGCCCCTGGTAACCTCTGTTCTACTTTCCATTTCTGTGGATTTGCCTATTATAAATATTTCTTATAAGTAGAATCATGCAGTATTTGTTCTTTTGTATCTGGCCTATTTTACTTACTATAATGTTTTAATGGTTCCTCCATGCTGTAGCATGCATGAGAACTTCATTCCTTTTTATGGCTGAGTAATATTCCATTGTATGGATATACCACATTTTGTTTATTCATTCATCTGTTGTTGGACATTTGGGTAATTGCTGCCTTTTGGCTATTGTAAATAATGCTATAATAAACATTAGTGTTCAAGTATCTGTTTGAGTCCATTTTCAGCTCTTTTCAGTATATACCAAGGAGTGGAATTGCTTGGTCATATGGTAGCTCTAGGTTTAACATTTTGAGGAACTACCAAACTGTTTTCCACAGGGGTTGAATTATTTTATATTCCCACCAGCAATGCAGGAGTGTTTAAGTTTCTCCACATTCTTGTCAACATTTGTTATTTTCTAGGCTTTGATAATAGCCATCTTAATGGGTGTGAAGTGGTATTCATTATGGTTTTGATTTGCATTTCCCTAATGATTATTGATGTTGGACATCTTTTCATGTGCTTTTTGGCCATTCGTATATTTTCTTTGGAGAAAGGTCTATTAAAGTCCTTTGAGTCCTTTGCCAGTATTTAAATTGGCTTGTTTGTCTCTGTTTTTGATTTGTGAGTTCTTTGTATGTTTTGGATACTAGATGCTTACCATATGTATAACTTTAAAATATTTTCTTCCATTCTGTGGATTGTCTTTTTACTCTCTTGATAGTGTCCTTTGATGTACAAAAGTTTTAAAATTTGATAAAATACAATTTATCTGTTTTTTTTCTTTCGTTATTTGTGCTTTTGGTGTCATACTTAAGAAACAATCACCAAATCCAACGTCATGAAGATTTTATTTTACCCTGTTTTCTATAAGAGTTTTATAGTTTTAGCTCTTAAGTTGCTGATCCATTTTTAGTTAATTTTTATGTATGGTATAAGGTAAAGGTTCAACTTCATTCTTCTGCATGTGGATATTCAGTTTTCCCAGCACAAAAGACTGTCCTTTCCCTATTGAGTGGTTTTGGTACCTTTGTTAAAAGTCAGTTGACCAAATAAGGTTTATTTCTGAGTTCTCTATTCTATTTCATTGGTCTGTATGTCTGTCCATATCCTGGTACCACATTGTTTTGATTACTCTGGCTTTGTGGTCATTTTTGAAATTTGGAAATGTTAGTCTTTCAGTTTTGTTCTTTTTCAAAATTGTTTTCATTATTCATGGTCCCTTGAAATTCCATACGAATTTTAGGATGAGTTTTTCTATTTCTGTAATAAGAACAAAAAAAACATTGAGGTTTTGATAGGGGTTGCATCAAATCTTTATCTTGTTTTGGGTAGCATTGTTACCTTAACGATATTGTCTTCCAGTCCATGAACAAAAGATGTTTTCCAGTTTGTTTAGGTTGTCTTTAATTTTGTTCAGCAACATTTTGTAGTTTTTTTGTATGTACAAGTCTTTCATCTCCTTTGTTACATTGTTTATTAAGTATTTTATTTCTTTCCTTGCTATTTTTTTTTTTTTGCGGTATGCGGGCCTCTCACTGTTGTGGCCTCTCCCGTTGCGGGGCACAGGCTCCGGACATGCAGGCTCAGTGGCCATGGCTCACAGGCCTAGCCGCTCCGCGGCATGTGGGATCTTCCCAGACCGGGCCACAAACCCGTGTCCCCTGCATCAGCAGGTGGACGCTCAACCACTGCGCCACCAGGGAAGCCCTTCCTTGCTATTTTAAATGGAATTGTTTTCTTAATATTCTTTTCAAATTGTTCATTGCTATTGTATAGAAATACAACTGATTTTTCTTTTTTTTTTTTGTGGTACACGGGCCTCTCACTGTTGTGGCCTCTCCCGTTGAGCAGAGCATAGGCTCCGGATGCACAGGCTCAGCAGCCATGGCTCATGGGCCTAGCCGCTCTGCGGCATGTGGGATCTTCCCAGACCGAGGCACGAACCTGTGTCCCCTGCATCGGCAGGCGGACTCTCAACCACTGCGCCACCAGGGAAGCCCAATACAAGTGATTTTTGTGTTGGTTTTATATCCTGCAACTTTGCTAAATTTATTAGCTCTAACAGGATTTTTGTGTGTGTGTGAGTTCTTCAGGATTTTTTACATCGAAGATCATGCATGTCATTGGCAGAGATAACTTTATTCTTTTCCAGTTTGGTTGCTCACTTGACCTGTTTTCCTTCCTTCCTCCCTCCCTCCCTCCCTTCCTCCCTCCCTCCCTCCCTTCCTTCCTCCCTTCTTCCCTTCCTTCCTTCCTTCCTTCCTTTTCCCCCTAATTTCTCTGGCTAGAATTTCTCTAGTACTTTGTTGAATAGAAGTGGCAGAAGTGCACATCCTTATCAATCTTTAACTATTGAGTATTAGTTTAGCTGTGGGTTTTCCATGTATGACTTTTATCATATTGAGTAAGTTCCCTTGGATTCCTATTTTATTTAATGTTTTTATCAAGAAAGGGTATTGGATTTTGTCAAATGTTTTTTCTGCATCAGTTGAGATGGTGTGTTTTTTTCCATCATTCTATTAGTGTGGTATATTACATTGATTTGCATTTGTTGAACTACCCTTGCATCCTGAGGATGAATCTCCCTTGGTTGTGATATGTGATCCCTTTTATATGCTGTTGAACTTGTTTTGCTAGTATTTTGTTGAGAATTTTTATATTTATAAGTGATGTTGCCTGTAGTTTTCTCTTAGTGTCTTTGTCTGACTTTGGTATCAGTATGCTGATCTCATAGAATGAATTAGGAAGTGTTCCCTCCTCCTCAGATTTTTTGGAGGACTTCAGAAAGGATTGGTAAATTCACCAGTGAAGCCATCTGGTCCTGGGCTTTTCTTTGTTAGGAGGTTTTTAATTTCTGACTTAATTTTCTTGTTACAGGTCTATTCATATTTTCTCTTTCTTCTTGAGTTAGTTTTGATTATTTCCTTCCTTCTGCTAGCTTTGGGTTTAGTTTTCTTTTTCTGGTTCCTTAGGTTATTGGTTTGAGATTGTTCTTTTCTAATGTAGATGTTTAGAGCTTTAAGTTTTCCTCTTTTTATTGCTTTTGCTGCATCCCATAAGTTTCTTATGTTGTGTTTTTGTTTTCATTTGTTTCAAAGTATTTTGTAATTTCCCTTGTGATTTCTTTTTTGACCCATTGGTTGTTTAAAAGCATGCTGTTTAATTTCTACATGGAATTTTCCAGTTTTCCTCCTGTTAGTATTTCTAGTTTCATTCCATTGTCATCAAAAATGATACTTAAAAAAAATTATTTTATTTATTTATTTTTGGCTGCATTGGGTCTTCGTTGCTGCGTGCGGGCTTTCTCTAGTTGCGGCGAGCAGGGGCTACTCTTTGTTGCGGCGTGCAGGCTTTTCATTGTGGTGGCTTCTCTTGTTGCAGAGCACAGTCTCTAGGCCCTTGGGCTTCAGTAGTTGTGGCACATGGGCTCAGTAGTTGTGGTTCGCAGGCGCTAGAGCTCAGGCTCAGTAGTTGTGGCGCATGGGCTTAGTTGCTCCATGGCATGTGGGATCTTCCTGGACCAGGGCTCGAACCCGTGTCCCCTGCATTGGCAGGCGGATTCTTATCCACTGTGCCACCAGGGAGGTCCCAGATATGATACTTTTAATTTTAATTTTTTATATTTATTAAGACTTGGTGGTCTATCCTGGAGAATGGTCCCTGTGCCCTTGAAAAGAATGTATATTCTGCTATTGTTGGAAGAGTGTTCTATATATGTCTGTTAGTTCTAACTGGATTCTAGTGTTGTTCAAGCCTTCTGTCTCCTTATTAATTTTCCATATGAATGTTCTACTTATTCTTGAGAGTGAGGTATTGAAATCTCCAAGTATTATTGTAGAAACCGTCTGTTTTCCCTTCAGTTCTGGCAGTTGTCCTTTATATCTTGTGAAGTTCTACTGTTAGCTGCATATGTTTATAAGTATTGTATCTTGATGGATTGTATCTTTTATCAATATATAATGCCCTTCTTTGTCTCTTGTAACCTTTCTTTGACTTAAAGTCTATTCTGCCTGAGAGTAACATAGCCCCCTCAGCTTTCTTTCTGTTACTATTTGTATGGAATATCTTT